TTCAAAACCAATTACCCTTAGAAGCCACACAAAGATTGGGGAGAATTGCCCAATTTCAGAAACTGTTGTTCCTCCAGAAGCTTTAACACGTATATGCTTGGTCATTTGAGTGACAAGAGAGATACGATCAAGTGAACCTTCATCTATACCACCCATCTAAAACAAATCAAAATGAAATTAAGAATAAACCATAAACCATATACAGAAAGAAGGTATAAAAGTGTCAGCATAGTTTTCTAACCTGGTTGTAAATAAACATGCTAGATAGGAGAACCGCTAAGGAAAATATCTGTGTGCTGTACGTTTCCTGTAAGATAAAGATAAGTTACAAGTATTACAGTACAACTGATAATGCTCATTATAAAAATTGTATAATGAGCTGAAACTAATATTATAAGCAAAGAATGAAGGCTAACCGTCTGATCAAAAGCATCTATTCCTTCAGTATCCAACAGTAATAGATTGTATTCAGTCCCATCCAATGCAGTTCTCTTAAAGGGCGCACTCCACAACCATAGCCCTTTCGTACATGGGCGATGTGTAGATGCTACTTGAAATCCACCACTCCTTCCGAGAAGCTACAACAGAGAAGTCCAAAAACAATTATGTTACTTTCAGCAACATTAAACCAGTTGGGAAGAAAAACAAAAGCAAGCTTAGTGGTCATAAATTCATGGAGGGAAAGAGCTGATCAGAAACGGAAGGTTCTTTAAACAGTAGGCTCCGTCTCTATATGTTACGCTTATTGTGAATCACACCCCAATTTTGTTTGACCATATAATCAAAATTTCACATCTAACATAACAGTATTCCATCATAAACGCATATGTCCTTGTCTTAAGAGTCGATAATACCCAAACATTGTTGCAAAAACATGATTTAGGTTAATCATAGACAAGTCCAAGAACTAGAGAAACCTAAAGTAACCCTACAATTATCCAAGTCTACGACAGTGAGGTAATTCCACCATTATCCAAGTCCACCAAGATCCACACTTTGGCCTTTCATAGCATGTCCAATCAGCCAAAAACCGAGACCTAAAGTAAAGAAATCGTCTTGGTAGCAATCACCAAACCAATAAAGCAAGGGTTAGCTCTCCAGCTGGTCCACAGGTAAGTAGGTCCATTACTTTTACCGGAGGCCCTTCTCACTCAAGCTCAAGTACTTGCTTTTCTCGTTAGAGACCAACGTCTTGGGGCTAACGTGGACCCTACAATTCCTACACTTAATTCACTCCCCTAATTCTACAATGCCTTACAATCATAAACCCTAGAATTCAATTCACAGAGAGAAAACAAATGTAAAATGATAATTAACACATGTCCACAAAAATTGAGAGAAGAAAAGACGAGAAACCGAACCTGGTTCAGAATAAAGCTCTTGCCCTGGCGGGCACGGCCGCAGACCGCGACGATACCAATGGGTTCCTTAACGAGCTGCAGCATGGAGACCGCCTCCTGATCCATCCGGAACTTCCCATTCTCGTCGCAGTAGACGAGCCGTATCGGCCTCGGGGGACCCGTCACCGATCGCGAAGACGAGGGAGAGAACGACGGCGACGGCGACGGCGACGGCGGTGAAGAATCGTCTTTGCCTCTGAAGAATCTCCTCATGTTTCACCGTCGCTCCTTATTATGACGTCGTTTTGTGATTCTGCCTTCCTTCGTCCAGTTCACTGAGGGGAGAGAGAGGGAGAGAGAGAGAGAGAGAGAGAGAGTTTTAAAATTGGGGAGGGAAAGGGGTCGGATGTTTTTGGGGAGCTTTACAGAGCAGCGAGAAGGAGAAGGGGCAGGAGTCAAATTACGCTTATGGGTTTGGTTGTCGTGGTGGATATCGAATTACGTGAAGGGCCTTATTGTACTTGTACACAAAGGTGGATCCCAAATCGGAACGACAGCGTGGAAACAAAGCTGACCTTGCAGTAGGCTCGGCTGCCACAGTATTTGCCTCTTTTCTGGGAAGTGTGTAACGCAGGACCGCCACTAACTTTCGTTTTTAGCAATGGCGGCCCAAAAGCAAGCCCAATAACTCTAGGCATTGCTGGGCTGGGCTTATGAGTTTAGGGTTTAGACCATCAAGTTAATTCAGCTGGGCTGAGCTTTGTGCGTGGGAAGGTCGGGTGATGAGAACGGTTTAGGTCCCCAAGAGTGGCCGAGCTTGTTCTGATCCTATACAGGTCTTTACTTCCAACTTTCGTCTGTTTTCCTGGTCTGGGAGTATTTTTCTTTACTTATAAGTGAGAGGTTTTAGGTTCGATTCTCCTCAAAGGTGAATTTGAACCACATTAGTGCTAATCCATTGTGAGGCTTAGCCCACTTCCCCACTCCCTTAGTGTAGATAATATTTCTTGTTGTGCATGCGCTATCCTGTTGGGATCATAATAAGAAGAAGAACAAGGCTAAAGAGAAATTCTAAAAGCGAGAATTGTAAAAGTTCATATCATTCATGCCTCTCGTAACGAATCTATTCGACTATTCTACATAAAATATGTCCAAATGAATCCATCAACTTACGTCGTACTAATTTCTAAATAACAAGTATTTTATCATGTCAGTACAAGTAACAGTTTGGAAGAGTGGAAAATCGAACGCAAAACCTTGATTCTTCACAGGCTCTCTAATTGACTAGAGGAAAAAAACAAGATAAGGCTCAAAGTTGGCTTATGAAGGTGGTGGGCAGACTAGATAGGATTTTGGAATTGCAAATGTTGATGACAATTTGTAATGTCATTGACGATACCAAAACACCCAATAGAAAGGAGTTAAGTTATTAAACGTCAGAATTAAATAAAATAAATTCAACGGAAGGTCTTCGGCCTTCAAGGTCTGGCACATGTATTTGGACATTGGAACGTTAAATTCTTTGGGGAGTTTTGAAGCTCTTGGGGCAATGGTAAGACAACCTATGCGATATATATATATATATATATATATATAATGATCAACTCGTCTAGCGGCATCTGATTTTCATTTAGTTAGAGGAACCTGTAAGTTTACTATTCTCACGGAATATATAATGGTATTATTACTAAGTTATCATAATGCACATGTGGCCCAACTTGTATTAGTGTTAAGGTGTTGAATATTATATGCAGTGGCCACGCCGGAAATGGATACATAAAGTAACAACGCCCTGAAATGATAACCATTGTTGTTGCAGTCGGATGGGATCATGGGATGATATTAATTGACAATTAAACAATTGATTGGTGCACGTCGTGAGGTTGTCATTTTCTCACACTCCTATTTTATCTTTATTTGTTTAGAAAAGTGTTAAGACGACTCTTTTAAAAGTAAAAGTATTTATAGATTTTGTCATTTTATATTTTTGACATAATTTTTTATAATGTTGGCACGAATATCGTATCTATAATTTTCAAATAATTGGGTCATAATATCAACAAAAAAAAAACTTTATTGGGCTATTTCGTCGAGCACCTAGGAGACACTGCCAATTCCTGCCATCATATGTCTACAACTATTATATTGTTTGTAGAGTTTGTTGTTGGTGGATGTAGGATACTATAGAATAATGTTAAATATTGTCAAGGCTTGTCAACTAAGGTATTTCAGTGAGCACATGGTGCGCACAATAAAGTAGCACACAAGAAATGAGAAAAGGAAGATAAGTATGATAGAAGAAAATAGAAGGAGTAAGAGGATGAGGGTTTTTATTTATTTTACCGTAATTGTTTATAGAGGTCAAATACAATATACAAACAGATATACATGAAGTTTTGATGTTGTTGGGGTCAAGTTTAACCAAAGACCTCATGCTAACTCCGTCACTAATTGATACGGAAATTAACGTTAAATTATGAAGTGATAAAAAGTCTATAATAAATTTCACTTTTGATGAAGTATCCTTAACATTTCTCGTACACATCCACTCTCAAGTAATCATTTTTCAGAATTCATAACTCACTAATCATTTTCTAAGTCATCTACAAAATCTATAGTAAATTTCACTTTTGCTGAAGTATCCTTAACATTTCTCGTACACATATCAGAATTCATAACTCACTAATTATGTAGGGCAAGGCCAGCAATCTGATGCCGAAATGGAATTGTACTTATGACTTCTGGTCCAGGCATTTAAGCGTGTGGAACCCAAAGTCCACCATCACAGTCCTTCTATGTTATTTATTTAAATCAAACCATATATAAGACTAATATTACAGACCGACACAATTTTCTCGCTACATTTCTTTTATGCGTCAATTTTTGGATTTTATTTATCACTGTTTATTGACATGAATTATGCTAACAACAGTCACGGTGGTTGAGATTGTCAATTATTAATACACATTGATATTCATATTTATTTTTTGTTCCTCTTTAACTTAGTGACAGTAACTCATATGATGACGAGATTTTTTTGCAAAAATATCAATGTATCTTCTTTCCCTTTAACCATTACTTTACTTTTACTCGAATTTTACTTATGCTGCTCTAACATTACATGTGTGGTAAGAGTTTAACTCTGCTCATATGCAAACTCTTGTTTTAGCTACTTTAGGTGGATAGCTATTAGTTGTGAACTAACATTTTCGTTAATAGTTTAGGAGTAATGCTATAGTAAGATTAAATTTTGTAAATTAATTGATATGGAAGTTGATGGTTGAATTATGGTTTAATCGTTGATAAACGTGCTTATTCTTATTGTTGATACGTCATTAAATTTGTAAATATTTAATCTCCTTAGTATTACCGATTAAATAGGACACGCCTGCATAAGCGACTTTCGTAGCATTTTTTATTAGTGGATGTACGAATTGATGCATAATACAAAAAAAATAATGGAAGAGGCCATCTCAGACAAGCATGGGTCTTGCTTGCAGCAACCAGCTCAGCCCCACTGGATGTTGCCTGCTGTCCATGATTAGCATAAAATTTGAAAATTCACATCATATCATCGATTATTACAACAACTTTCAGATTAATTATCTCCCAATAACTCGTGTCCTACAAAAATATTCAACAAAATTAAAGACAAATACATGAAGAAATGATCACAGGATCTGCAATTAAAGTTTCGTCAATCTTGAAGATGTACGTGTGAAACAAGTATTTCGTCAATCTTCTCTTTTTTTTTTTTTTTTTTTAAATCCGAATACGATTAAAGTTTGCTGAATTACAAGGGCAAAACTCCCAAAAATATTACAGAAGAAAAGGAGAAGAAAAAATCAAAGCCACAAAGCTCCAGCTTGTTTTAACACAGGCACAAGTTCACCTGTAATATGGGTAGCCATGACCCTCTCCAAACCACCAAACAACTTCCCGCCTACAAACACCACCGGAAACTGCGGCCAATCCTCCTGGTCTGCTCCGATCAGTCTCCGCAGTTCAGCGACAACCCCGGTCTCGTCTTCCTCGTCCACTTCGAAAACCGAAGGGTTGACCCCATGGCCGAGGAGCAGTCGCTTGACGACGTGGCACATGCAACAGCCACGTCGTCCGACAACCGTGACAGCATTCTCCGACACCAGTTTTTGTACGCTGGCCGCCGCTACGTGTTGCTCGCGTGAGGACGGCGTCGCGTGGCCGGCCCGGCTGCCCGGAATCCATGTTCCATATGGGATAGTTTGTGATTGCATATTGCAATTAAAGTTCAATTTTTTCACAGAGAGAGAGGATTTTCAGAGGGAGGGGGCGGTGATGTAGAAGTGGCGTTTGAGGACGGGGGATTTATAATCTGTAGAGAGAGAGAGAGAGAGAGAGAGAGAGAGAGAGAGGAGAGAGAGGAGCGTAGACTCTAACGTCAACGGCAGTTGCGCAGTGTTCGACGTCACAGGTTGCTGTGGGTGACGTTTACTTTCGTCACCCGCGTTGTTTAACACTGGACGTATTCTCCAAGTAGGGCTAACAGATGATGCACCGCACACGTTGCCCTTAATTTTCCCACCAGGTTTTGCGATTTTTGCCTTTGTTTGTTAGTACTCCAAGCTGGCCATACTCTTTTGCTCTCATCTACTTTTGTGACGAAATTAAAATAAAACCATAACCCTAACATGCACAAATCGAAGAGTTGTGCTAGCGACAGCTACTTGCGTTCATGTTAAGGTAAAATATTTGATCATGCTCTTTCGGTCTTATGTTCTTTTTCTGACAAAATTAAAGTAAACAGTATAATTATAACATGTGCTTGTGTGCGAAAAAATTGTGTCAACAACGATGTGTAACTACGTATTATTAATTGTTGATTCTTGTGAGAACATTTGCATCGATATATAACTGATAGATTCCAAGAATTAGGTTCATTGCAGTCAATATAGGGTGTGTCCACAAAAAATGAGTTCAAGGCAACATGATGTCTGCATGATACATGCCGAACATAATTGACTGGTACTTGAAGAGATACATGTCTATTTCCCTTTTACTTCTCTAAATGATTTGTACTTAACTTAATATTTGTTCAAGTATGATATAAAATGACACTTCATCATTAATTCAGAGTTATTAGTAGTGCGAAAATTATCAGCATGAGCTTCTTTTTTTTTTTTACAAAAACAGAACATAAAATGTACTTCTTTTTTATAAAAAGGGAACCAATTGGTGGCTTCATCGCGGCAGCCCACCATTTTGGAGGCAAGAAGACTCATCACATAAGCATTTTAACATTCTCCTGGCAATCATCGTGTGATTTACCAGTGACAGAAATCGAACCTATAATATGCCATGTGGAATACGAATATGAAATTTGTTTCTAGTCAGCCACTGGGGCACCTAATGGTGATTATAACATGTATTTCAATTATTGCGAATGAATGCTAAATTTTTAATAATAACGCATTTAAGTTATTAGGTGGAGGGTTTCTTGAAAAGAAAAAAAAAAAAAAAAGTAAAGTGGGTGAAAGGTACGATTCAATTTCACCAAATTAATTAGACACACAAATGTTAAAATTAGGCAATTTAATATAATAAAAAAATCATTTACAGTCTAATGATACTCATTTTGACTTGTAAATGAAAAATCTTATATTTAATTTCCGTTAAACATAAATTTTAACCATATTTTTATTAACCAATTGAGGCTAAGTTCACCCCAGGAAATATCTTTTTTCATAAATAAATGAAAAACATATCCACATGCAACCAATAGAAAAATACAAGTGATCTCCTAATCTCAACTATTTGCTCATCCCAAATTATCCCAACTTTCACGTAGTGACAAAAGCCGCTCGCGGACGGTGCGTCCGCGTACACGTAGTAATACGACAACAACCCAATGTCGTCACCCACCCACCACACACCGTCATTTGCTTACCAAAGCAGTCACAATCACAATCACAGCACGCCACGTGGCGTGAACGAATGACGCTTATCTGATCATCAAATACCTGGATTCTTGAGCATGTCGTTTTCAGTCGCGTTTGGAAGCCTGGCGTCTAAAGATTTTTTAGTATGACCGACAAATGAGATGGTACATCATGTGTGATTGTACAAATAGTGAGATATGTATGTTAAAATGTTAATAATTTAAAAAATAATTTTTTTTATCAATTACATAATAACACGTGGTGTAACATCTGTATTCCCGTCACAACGAAAAATTTATCCCTAACGTCTTGCCTTTCTCTCTCCTGCTGACGAGTGCGTGACGTGGATGTTGCTTTCGTTGCATTATTTTTTTCTATTTTTTTAATTCCGCCCACGTCACGAGGAATCAGTCAAAGACACAAGGTGTGGAAATTCTAGTCGCGGCGGTTGTTGCAAGCTTCGTATATTTAATTACATGTTTGAATTAATCTGAGCCGTGAATCACATGATCATCGATCCTGAATCTAATCATGTCGGGGTCAACGCTCTCATCTTACTCTTCTGTTTATATAAATTGTGTTACGGATTTGTAAATATCGTTACATGATATTGTGACATTTTATGGGAAATATACATAATTATGATAAGTATCTGAAATTTGTTACATGAATTGGTCAGATCGATGTTATTATTCTAAATGTATATGGCATTTTTATTATGATTTGAAGATGGAAGACTTTTGCTAATCAACGACTTTATGATCACATGTTGAATGCTACGTTCGGATGTGATATTTTCCTTGTGACACTTAAAAGCGTTTTTCTTTAAACATGTATTTAATGGCAACCATTGTTGCAGCTAAACGTTAAGTACATATGAATATGCATGAATACGATTTTGAATCTAAGATCCCAAGTTATCTTGTGATTATTTTTTTCTTTTTAAAAAAAAGGATCAGTTGGTGGCTTGTTATGGCAATCCATCTTTTCGGATGCAGTGAAGACTTATAGAGGCATTTCAGCCTCTCCTCAGTCATTGTCATGTGATTCATCAACGTAAAAAATCGAATCCAAAACGACCTGTGTGGAACACGAGCCTGGAATTCATTCCCGATCACTAAGTCACCTGATGGCGACTAGTTATCTTGAGATTAATGTAGCTAGATTGATGCTTGATACATTAACGCTTAATTTATTTTCTTGTTGGAAGAAATACAAAGTTAGGTTTACCAGATGGAACAAGAGGAAAAGACCTAATTGGATTATTGCGTGGAAATGAGCAAGTTAGCATCATAAAAATAATAGTTCTGTGTTTACTTTGAAAAGCAAAGGTGGTTAGTCAGTCAATTGGACATGGAACTCAAAATAAAACCTAAATCTGCAAGTTGGGGGTTTAATGTTTTATCCAAAACCCAAATCTTTTCTTGTGGGACAAATAAATTGGGACTAAATAGAATACATGTCTTCTGTCAGCTAACATTTTTATGAGAGTTTTAACGAAAAACTCCTGGTATTGTTCACTTTTAACAAAAATACAACATTTTTACCTTTACCTGATACCATTCACTACACTTTTATTTGTCATTTTTCATTAAAACTAAAGTTTTTTAAAACTTTTCGTTTTTTTTCCTTTTTATAAAATAGTCATCGTACTCTTCACTTAAAAAGTCCTACCAACCATTAGACGACTACTTGAAAATTGTTGGTCTCATGACCTTGGTTTGCTCCCAAGTGGTTTGAGCTTCGACTCTCTCCCACAATACCCGCGTAGCAAATGCTTAAGTTTCTCACTCCCCAAATGTTCAGCTGTCAGGCTAGGATTTAATAATTAGTTGGGCCAAAGACTCGGATACACTAGTTTCAAAATAAAGAAATGTTATACATCGGAGCATTGTGCCTTAGCAGATAAGCCCTCTTTCAACAGGTTTACATATGAGGGTTAAGCAATATTAAATATAGATTCTACAAACTTTTGTTCTCAAAGCTGAATTAACAATACAAATCAAAGTCCCTTGAAGCGCTTAGTTACAACTTTTGCCTCAAAATTCAGTTACATAAATGACAGCACACATAATCCCGAAGAAAACCTCCCGCCTGTTAAGAGAGTTTTCTTCATCGGTACAACGCAAAACTATTGATATTACAGTAACATTGCCTGCCAAAAGAGAGATTCAAACAAATAAATGACCGGAACACAAGCATCTTCTTCATGTTCATCGGGTTTACTTATATGACTTTGGAAGATATAGTGCGATGACAAACATGGCCATGATGAGTTCCATAGGTAGGGTTTATAAGCGCACTTCAAGCCATACCATATGTAAGTTTTGACAATAGATAGGCAATGAAGAATCCATGTAGATTCCGATGCTAGGTTGCAAACAGAACAAAAATAGACAGATATACAATAAGTAAACGTACGAGGACTTACTCGTTACTGCCTCGGATCATCTGCAACAAGCACAGGATGATCACTATCCTTGTAAACAGCTTTCCATCCTTTCTCCGCGCCAGTCAAAAGCCCAATCCTAGACATAAACATCCCACTTGCTAATCAGATAATCATTTGCTTCCATCAAATAGAAGATTAAATACCCCAATCATAACATTTGAAAATTGCATTTCATGCAGCAAAGAGGTTGCTTACTTTAGTACAGGTTATTCCAACTGTTGAAGTCATCAAAGGAGGCTTTGAATGAAACTGCACTCCAACATTGGGGTTGCCCTCTTGATCCGGGACACATTTGTCCTCGGACAATGAGAAACCAAAGAGTCTACAGCTACCTTTGACTGGTGAAACAGAATCCTGGCTGCCACTAATTGTTGATTGACTTATACCTGGATGAGGTGAAATACCATGCTGATTGTAAGAATGCGTGCCTCCACGATCTTCCCTGCTGAAGTTACGTTCACCAAATGAGGATGACGTTTGCCTTCCACCATCGTGTTCAGAGACATGTGGAGTCCGATTTATTCTATGGTCCTCTTGGTTATAGCCATTGTATACCGAGTTGAATTCCACAACTGGATTCATTGCTTGCTGGAACATTAACACAGACGATGGTGATGAAACTTGCACAGATGGGGCAGATGAGTGCACGTGTGTATTATTGCTCTGCATCATGGTGGACCATCCATTCCTAAAGCCAGGCACCTGAAAACCATCATAGATTCCAGGTCCACCATATTCATGAGCTTCGTTAGAAGCGGGAGCTCTTCCATAAGGTGAGCTTGGAAGTATTTCTTGACCTTGCAAGACCTTATGGAATCGGAATGATTCACCAAAGCCTATGCCTTTTGAGGCAATCTCAGAATCCACAAGTGACTGTCTGAGACCATTACCTCCAGCAGCAATCCCAGAACCACCGGAACCGTGGAAGACTCTCCTTGCTTCAGATGGATGCGAATTCAGACCACCTAAACCACTGAAAGGAGTATCAAACCCCGAAATTTCTTGACCTTGCAAGACCTTCTGGAACCTTAAAGATTCCCCAAAGTCTGATGTTCCAATCCCACCATCTGAAAAGGAAACACTCAAATAAATCATTATGTTGCAGAGACCAGTGTCATGATGACATGTCGTGGTATGATTGCAGGACATACTAGGAACTGGACATTCTGGTTTTGTTGCAGACAAACCAATCCTGGACCGCTTCAAGCCTGTTGCCATTAGGGTATGGGAACTAGAAACAGAACCAGATGACTCAACTTCCCATGGGGAAACCCTGCCATGCTTACTTGTGTCTATATCTTCCCACCTGACCTGCAATAGCAAAGGAAATGTTCAAACCAATATATCTAGTGCTAATGGCATGAGCGAATACCAGAAGTCAATATGGACATGCTACAGATTAGAGGAAACATAGTTTATGATATTTAGGTAAACGACTTTCAAGACACTGAAAATTAACTCTCACTATCAAGACATAATTGCTCATAGACCCTGAGTTTCTACTCCACAGGACTATGCCTAGGGTGGCTTGATCAACAATTAAGATAAAACTGTGTGGCTAATACAGGAGAAAATTTATGCTTCCAGTCTAAATTTAGCCACAAATTCTACCAAATCGTGACATTTCACATGACATATGAAGTGTGCAATTCATCCTAGTTAGAATACGGTGAAGCTGCCTACATTTTTTTTTTTTTTTTTTGGTTACCTTTTGCACTCTCATGCTCAACTATTGTTCAGAAAAGCTTATCATAGATTTGTTCATGACAATGGTTTTGGGAATCTCAATGTAAAATAACCAATACGTATAGGAAGTGTCCCATAAAGAAGATAAATACAGAATTGATGGTACCCTAAAGACAACTTTTGGTTTAGTACATTGGCATTCACCACCCGAACCTTCTCAAGCAGAAACGTACAAGTAAAAAAAAAAAGAATAAAAAGATAAAAGTTTGTGTAGAAAATACGTACAACCAGGCATCTCCATTTTGAACCAGGCCATCTTACAGGATCCAATTCACTAATCCCCGTTATAAACCCAGTGTATCTGCCAAAAAGAAAAATTTAATAAAAAATTTCCACAAAACTACAACTATTTCAAAAGTAAGAATGCCAAACCTTCGCTCTGCTGCATCTTCAGTTTCAAAACGCATTTTGATCCTCATTCCAGCAGAAAAACAATGATCAAGGCTCCTCAAAAACTTATGGGAAGGTATTATGAATTCAGAAGAGCTGGACCTACAAGATCATGGACGATTATAAGGAAAAACGATGCAGAAGGAAGAAAGGTCTAAAGTCTCAAGCACAATAACTTTCAAGATTACTTTAGGAATATGTTAAATGATGAGCGCCAGATTACCTTGGATTGTAGTACACATTAAAAGCATTCTTTGCGAATATAGCATTCACCACATCGGTGATAGCGCTATAGTTCAATTGCTGGCTACAAAGAGTTGGACAAGTAGCAGAACTTTTAAACTGGGCTGCCCTTCTAATTCCGAGCCTCAGTTCTCCATCGTCACCCCTATTATAAATACTGGATGAGAATTATAAATAAGGGGGTCCAAAATCTCGTCAATCGAAGGGTTTATATACCTAAGAAACAGCACCGCATCTCCAGAGACGAGCTTCTTCTTGTTCACAAACGCACTCCATCCAGTGGTGAGCAAATGCCTCCGTGGCTGCCCTACTCAAACCAATTAGAAAAAAGGAATAAGAAACACATTGAATCTAAAGCATCCAATTTACAAAGTTCATTATAAAACTCTAATAAGATTGCCACCGTATCATGGAAAGATAAACCCCCAACTAATGAAGCACAAAAGGGATCATATTTTTTGCATTACCCCTATAGATATGTCGGAACCTCCACTCCAGGCCATGCAGATCCTTTGCTACAAGCTCTTGGGAAGGCCTTTGTTGAGTGTAATCCTAAAAGCACAATCTATTCGTCTCAAAAACAAAATACTAATATGTACTTGATTAGACTAATAATTTAGTCTCAAAAATGTTATGCAGAAGCTAAACCAAAAGTTGGGGGAGAACATGAACTAGGAATACCAGGGGAGGAAAGCAATCCTCGGCAGCACGACGAGGCACAGAGAAGCCTCCGTGAGTGCTAGTATCGGAAGCAGTAAGGGTTTTGCAGAACATGTGGGGTGTGGTTGACGTCCCCATTGCCTCAACGTCGTCCTCGGCATCTGCATCGGTTTCCCCTTCCCGCAATCTGTGCTCAATTTCCTACATAGATTAAAGCATTAGTGAAATCACCTCAATGTCAATGTTTAATAGATAAAAACATCACACGATCACCAGGAAGAGCAAAGAAAATTAAAAACATCAACCCCAAAATCGAATTGTATAAATTATAAGTAACTAATTCATAAATTCGTGAAATGACTAATAGTAAGGAGACAGAGATGCTAACATATGATCTTTGATAATGCCAAAGCGGGAAAGAAAGAAAGTGAAATTCTAAAGCTTGGGTTTTTAATTGTTTCGGTTTCTACACAACGTGAGCATTTTCTCAGAAAAATTTTACTTTTCCAGCATTTTCTAAGGAACCAAACAGAAAATCAAAACCCGTACAAATAAACCCACCTCACTTTCAGGAACAAGGGAAACCCGAGCGAAGACATCGTCAGTGCCAGTCTCAGCCTGCGACCCAAAAAACCCTCAAGAAATTGAGAACCCAGATAGCAAAACCCCAAAAGCTATCAAATTTCATCAAAAATCCAAAACCCAAAAAGAATTTGAGAGAGAGAGGCTCATTGTATAGAGAGACTGACATGGAGCTTGACATCGACAACCCGACAGAAGAGGTGGGGCGGGAGATCATAAGCCGAGGTCGGAAAATCCGAGACTTGCTCCAGGTGGCCCTGCGGCAGATACACCACCACACTCCCTTTCTTCGGCAGCGAAATCAGTGGGCCAGCGCAGGCGTGCCAGAGCTCCATGCACACTGACGCGGAAGAACCCAGAGCGTCCGAAACAGAGGAAGCCGAAGACGGCGAGCCGGACGATGGCGTTTGTTCGTCCTCAGTCGCACTGTTCAGATCAATTAGACCCGCCATGTGAAATTAAACAGAAACTGTAAGGACCCAACAAGCGAAAGAGGAAGAAGAAGAAGGAGAAAAGCACTTTGCTTTTTTGCTTTTTGCTTCTGCTTCTGCTTAAGCTTGTTTATAATATGGAGAAAAGAAAAAAGGGCGTAGAGGAGGTTTCAATTCTCCTGCATTTTGAGAGATGGGTTTGATAGCACTTAGCTAAAAGAAGCTCGGAAAAGCACTTCTCTCTCTTTTCTGCTTAATTCTTAACTTTTATTATTTTTCTTTTGGACGGGCTTTTGGGTATCAAATCAAAAGCTCAAAAGCTTTTACAATTTGGGAGGTGAGAAAAAGAAAATGGAAATTAATACCCAAAAAAATCAGATAATTTAATATGGGACTTCTTTTGGTGTTGAATTGAATCCCTTTTTGGGTTTTTAAATAAAAAAAGATTCAACCATTTTTCTCCGTCTGCAGGCCGAACTGCAGCACTGTTGCAACTGCTGGGTGTGATGTGTGGCAGAACAGTGTGTGTATGAGAGAGAGAGAGAGAGAGTGTGGAGGTCTTGTACGGCACCCCCTGTATTTCCGGGCGGATGTCTATTCTGTCCCCTTCTACTCCATCAAATCCCACTCGTACCCCCCCCCCTCTCCCCTTAGTCTTCATTCTTTCCTTCCTCCCATATTTAATTTATTTTAATTAAGATTTTGACAAAACCAAAATCAAACATTCTCTCTCCATTCCTTCTCTTTTGTGAAAGCAAAAACCCCCTACTTGGTTTGCTAATCTATCTTTTTTTTGGATTCTAATTTTATAATTTAGAAGAAAGAACTTTTATCATGTAGAATGATAAATGCCATTACGTAGAGCTTATCACACAAGTTGTTCTTCGAAATAGACTCTTGAATCATGTGGTTGTATGGCCAAAGACTCTCATGATTGGATCAGAAGGATAAGGGGATGGATTCGACGGCCTGCACTTAAGAATTTATTTTATTACACATTGTCAAATGTTTCAACTTTCTTACATATCAGTGCGTGATTGACTTAGAATCTTGGTAACATACCATTCAAGACAATTTTTTTTTTTTTTTTGTAATTTTGGGGATGTTTTGGGTTTTATCTTCTCCTCTCTTTATTTCTTGGGGTCAGTTCCTCTTGCACAACCAAACCATTTGGTTAAACTGGCCAAAAGATAGTAACAATATGGGCAGTATGAAATATCCAACTTTCAAAAACTATAGTGTACTCTTAGGAAACTTCTTTTTTAGGGCAACCTTCGTCATCTCACAAATCTAAATTGGGTTGCTATTTTAGCAACCTGAACTGGTAGGCTTTACACATTCAACTTTGGCAAGCTTTTACCTTCACCACTCACTCGGTAACTTGGAAAACAAACAAAAAACAAAAAAAAAAAACATGTTCCAAATTCAAAAGTCACATGCATAATCTTTAAGACATTCTTCACTTTTGCTGCAAATTTACCCAACTGCTTTATCTGCCCATGTTTGATTGTTTCCATAAGAGTCTTATGGCTCATTATTTCTTGTTTAATTTCTTAGGGCAAAAGTAATGTCAAATGTGGGTCTTTATGCTTAATCAATTGGGGGACAAGTAAAAAGATGGCACTTCCCATTTCTGCATAATACAAATTAAGAGAGAAGAGAACCCTACTTCAATAAGATATATTATAGCAGTGAACAATTATGCCCTAACCAACTTAACTATCATTTTCTTTTTTGGTCGGAAACTATAACTAATGATCAAATTTTGTTTCTCACATCTACATGGACTTTAGTAAAAACTTGTCTTGCAAATTAAAAACGAAAGTTCTACTATACTCCAGTGTATGACATACCTTAACTGGAGAGTTAGATTTACTTAAAAAAAAATTAAATAGTCAATGATCCAACGACCAAAGATCACTATTTATACTATACATATTGAAAATTATGATTTTTAATTATAAAAAAATATTATATATTTGATTGAAAAAGTCACATTTAAGTATGGACAGAGATCCCAACTGGATCTCCCCCACCAAGTCCTAAAGATCCGGAGATCCGGACCTTTGAAATTTGATCCAGCAGCTACAATTATTATTACTTTTAGAAGACCACCTGTTTGTAGTCGTTAAATCAAATTTCAACGATCTGGATCTCCAAATCCTTAGGATTTGGTGGAGTGAGATCTGGATGAAATCTCTGTCCTTTAAATATAAGTTCACAGAAGTGATCACACTTTAAAAAATACTAAATATCAACATTTTTCAACAGACTATGGAGTCGAAGACATAGGTTGTGATTAATTAGGACACTTTCCCATGCAACATTCTTGCTTGTTATTCCTTGATACCAGCCCCCCCTTTTTTTTTTGCACACAAACCTAAAATTTTTCACAAATAAAGTATTCACTCATGAAAATCAAACCCATACAACCTTTCCCCATAAAAAAAAAGGAAGGACAACCAAACTTTAAATAATTGTCATAACTATTTGGTTGAACGATGTGAATCACATGATTGTGATCAGGAATTTCAGTCTTTAAGTCTTCTCGACTTTCTAAATGATGGATTATCGTAGTAAAGTCATCAGCTGACCATTTTAAAAAAAAAACATATAGCTCTTCACTTAAATTTTAACGGTTTTGGAAACTTATTTGAATTGCAAATTAAAGTAATGTAGGCAGGTCCAAAGAATTTTTTTTTGGTTTTTTAACAAACGATAGTAAAGGGGTGGGAAAGTGGACTAAGCCTTACAATGAGTTAGTAATAATGTGATTCAAATTTTCCTACGCTCTACCGTAAAAACTTCATTATTAAAATTATAGGTCATTGCGGTTATTAGTTTAATGTTCTTATATATAACAAAAAAATAAAAGAATTCTACTATACTCTACTGTTTGGCATGTACGGTATAAATTAGGGTAAAACCGTCTTTTTAGTTGTTGGATAAACAATTGTGTCACAGTAGAGGAACAGGTCTTTATCTGACCTGAGCCATCAACTGCAAAGAACCCAGTAACCACAGGCTATAGGGCTATACACCTAGACATATATATATATATATATATATATTTGTGTGTGCATACACGTTAGGTTAGGGTTTACTAGCTCCAGTCGCTTTTGCAATGCTTAGGTGAATAACCCGGATAAAACGGGTTGCAACTCAATGCCCGATTGAGTAAATGACTCGGTCTTTCGATTTGCATGGGAAAGTTGTCAACCACCACTCGCCCTGTGAGAGCGTTTGCACACACTTTGATTTCGTGTCTGTGGAACTAGAAATGTTTATCGAGCTTTTATTTGGTGGTGCTTAATTGTCAATGATGAAAGTGTCTTTTATTTTCTTTCTTTTGTTTTGAGTCTCTCAATTCAGTTCGAGTTGATTATTAGTTGCAGCAATTCAACGTGGGTTTGTTGCGCATTTTAAGAACGAAATAGTACAATTCAGTTTTTTCTTTCACACATTTATTTCAATTTTCGATTCGTTGGATTGAATAAACTAAAGAAGATTAGTGGAAAAATTAACAACAGTATGTGAAAGGTAAAAAGAAGTGTGAAAACAGTACTACCCTAATTTTATACTTTAAATTGCCTACCTCGAAAGCTAGATTGGGAAAAAGGTTCTATTATGTTCGAAATGTTCTTAAAAGTTGAGAGGTAATTAGGGTAAGAGAAGATTAAAATTTCTTTGTGGACCAAGGAGAACTTTTGACTCAAGAGTTTATTAGTGCGTCCTATGTTATTATTTAATTGAAGGGACAATTAAAAAAGGGAATTATTATTAACGTTCCAGAAATCTCATTTGTCACTTTAAATTTTCTATAATTAGAAAAAAAATACACTTGTAATAAGTGTAGAATGAAAATTTTGAAATACTAATAACAATTTCTTTGAAAAAATTGTATTTTTCTAATTATACAGTAACATGCGTTATAACGCTCTCGTGTTTTGAGTACATTAAAAAAATTTCTTAAGCAAGCATGAGGGATGGAAAAAGGTCTTATGGGGAAGCGTGAGGTTTTCTTGTGTGTATTGAATTGCTGTGGCCGTGGCCGTGGCCGGTATGAAAGAGACGTGTCTGCAGCTACCTTTAAAGGAGCGTGGGTTCACTGGGTTGGCAACTTGGCATCATAAATTGTTTCCCTTTTGCCTCACTTTTTAACTTTTCTGTCAGTCCCACCCACCCCACTCATTTTTTTATTTTCACCCTTACATTCCTATAGTTTTGCTTTCGACCCTGGATTCTATAAATGATTACTTATTACCCTCGTCTTTTTTCATTTGGTCTTATTAAGCGATAATATCTTGGATTGTGATTTGTTTCCCTTCCTTTATTATAGGAATAGATTGATTTGTGTAATCCTTGTATAAGTTGACTTCCTAGAATAGCCTATTACATGTTGTATAAAGCTTGTACTTCTTGTGAAGAATATCAATATATGAAAACATCTTCAATACTTCCCTCTCACGGCTTAAACCCTAGAAACCTACGGAACCCTAGCAGGTCCATATTTTAACATGGTATCAGAGCACCGTTTCTGGTGACTCTGAATACCCCACCCATCTTCAACGCTTCCGCACCACGACCAACAACATCGTCACTATGAGTGATTCAGGAACCAACACGAAGCCATTAGAGATGGCTGCTGATCTCTCGAACCCGTTCTTGTTACACCCCTCGGATCAACCTGGGAACATCTTGGTCTCCAAAACCCTTCAAGGAGACAACTACAACACATGGAGCCGTGCTATGCGCATCAGTCTAAGTGCTAAGAACAAGCTAGGTTTGGTCGATGGAACCATTGACCCACCTGCTGAAACAGATAAACAATTTGCATTGTGGCAACGATGCAATGACATGGTCCTCGCGTGGATCCTGAATTCTGTGCATGAAGATATTGCAAGCAGCTCCTACTACACATCAGCAGCAGATGTGTGGGCTGACTTACGTGATCGTTTCTCTCAAGGGAACGATTCACGTGTTTATCAAATTAAGAGAGAAATTGTTGAACACAGACAGGAGCAACAATCGATCTCAGTCTACTACACAAAACTCAAGGCATTATGGGATGAATTGACGTCCTATCATGAGCCTTCAACCTGCACTTGTGGGGGTTTGAAGAAGATCAATGAACGTGATGAAAAGGAAAGAGTGATGCAGTTTCTCATGGGATTAAACGAGTCCTATGCCGCAGTACGTGGGCAAATCTTGTTGATGCAGCCACTTCCCGACACTCGGAAGGCATACTCTCTTGTTTTACAACAAGAGAAGCAAGTGGAGGTATCTCTCACTCGTCATAACAACAGTTTGCATGCTATGCATTTGACAAGCCATAGGGAATCTGCTGCACAACGAGGTAACTCCTCTATTAAATGCTCCTATTGTGATAAAAAATATCATACCGTGGATCGATGTTTTTATCTCTATGGCTTTCCACCGGGGCACAAATATCATGGCAAAAAGATGATCCCTCCTAACAAGAAGAAACCTGCGGCTAATCAAATAAAGACTGGCAATGAAGTCGCCACAGTCACGGATCAGCAGCATCATGAAACCAGCGGTGACAGCCCCAAGTTCACTCC